CAACTATTCGGAAACATTTTGTCCTTGCAAAGTAGGTAATTGAGGAGGCATTGTTGAAGGAAGAAAATTGCTCCAAATCTTATGCTTACCCTGTGTATGCGGTGCTCGTTGGCAGATCATATTAAGGCCGTAGGGTCACTTGGTATTTCAAGGTTGTAGCGATTGTAAATAACTTGTTTATTTTTTATTTTTACGCTTACCTATTTCGCTACGGTTGTACAACTTTGTTTTAATTGACTATATAGATATAACGATTTGTTTAGAGCTCGTCTCCCGTGGTGCTCCCTTTGTTGCTACTGGATTGTTGTGATTGTGCGCATCGCTGCCTGCTCCATTCACGATCGGAATCTACGTACACGTACAATTCGGCATACCTCGCAATCTACGATGCAACCTGACCAGGCCTTATGGGCGGCATTTTCATGCTTTATGTCACGTCGATAGTACATTTCGGACTTCACCTATCTAGTTACAACAGCAACGAACGGTACATGCTGAGGCGGCCAGTCAGCAGGTTAGTGGAGGGCATGACCCAAGGAGTGTAGACGGTTCGAATTCAACGGGTCTTCCAGTGCGGGAGAGGTAATAACCAAACCTCAACAACTGGGCTTCAGTAGCAGATATGCGACGATTATATTTGATGCGGACAATACCTCACCGATGTCCGTGGTCAACATGGTTTGTCTCTTAATGTTTACAAAGAGCAGTGGCCGATTTGGTGATTCACAGTGGCGCCAGGCGCACTGCAGTGCTGCGCACGCTAACCCTATCAAACAAGACTGTATCCTGTCGCCTTCATGAGGGTTGGAAAATCCTCACAGACCTCAGTGATCTGTGCAGTCGCAATTCTGCAAGATGCGATCACCAGGTGGACAGCCAGCTAGATAAGTAAATGCACCTGCGACTTCGGGCGGTCGTTAAGTACATCTGGGAACGTGGCGTATCGACCTAATTCCAGAATAGCACACTGAAGGCACAAAGCATGTGCATGGGCATCCAACAATATGCAACAGTGTGTTCATCAGTGTCAGTACAACAGTTTGATCGGACAGAGAGATACGCCGTCCGCGAGGACTAAGATTGTCAGTCTGTCAACGGTCAAATTTCTTATCTAAAAAGATGGGAGAATACAAAAGGGAAATTAACATTCGATTCCTAATTAGAAAGAGAAACTAGAGGTGGAACAGCCCTGACAAGCCATCTTTAAGGCGAAACTCCAATAGTACAGCTTACTATAGACTAGTAACCGGTCCAGGCATTCGTGGTATTCAGGTCATGAAAGAGAAATTTGTACTGCACTACGCCTCAAGAAAACACAGAAACAAGTTTGGTTGATCAAGGTTAACCCTCAAGACTAGAAAGATTACCACAAAAGTGCATGCATGCGATATACTGTTCAAACAACTGGTGAAGTACAAAGTGTTACCAAGACATCCTCCACCGGGATAAAAGCGATCCGAAGTATCCCCATTTTAGTTTTCACGATAAGCAGCGAGCGTACGCAGCCTGATGCAGGTGGGTAGCTTGAAGGAAATAGAGATAAAACTGGTACCAAGATGATTGCCATAGACATTCTTTGGCTTATTGGAGATGGGAGTTGCGATGGGCAAATTCCAAATAGATACCACTTTCTCCATGCGTCAACTAACGTAGATAACGACTAAATCAGTCACCAATGGATCATTCACGTCATCCAGCGACGGTGGCGGGAAATAGTAAGAGAGTAACCAGTTCCACCAGGAAAGTACAAACACGTATCAGATCAAAAATATGGCGGAGCTAAGATTCAATCCTCCGGGTGGGTTTAGGAGGCATTAGTAACAGTTTTGGCAAATGGGGTAGAATGAATTGTGATTCGAAGTGCTTGGTCTAACACTTAAGCTGTTAATGAGGATGACCACTTGGCAGCGTGTTCAGATATTGTCTCCAACACAAGAAACATTCCTGGAGCAGCGCGATTTATGAGCTGGAAGATACTACGCGGGTGTGCACAACGGCACAATCGAAATCGAGGTAGGTGTCCATATTGATCAACAATCTTGTACTGATGCGAGCCACCTGAGTTTGAAGGCAGTGTCGGCAATTGTGGAGGGGGGTAAGTTGTCGTTCGGTGGATGTCAAGTAACTCGATGTAAAGCTTAGGTCAAAAGCTGTGCTGCTGATATGAAGGCCATGGTCATTCGCGGTCGAAGAAGCCGCTTACGAACGTTGAAGTTGAACATCAGCTCGTGAGCAGCCCAGGAGGCGGTGTTGGGGCTCCGACAGAGGAAACTTCAAAGCATTCACCCATGACCAGTTTCAAAGAAACAGAACCATAACGCAGTGTAACAGTTTGCACACATCTTCGACGCACTTAGCTACACTGGGTGATGCCCACGCGCAACTGGAAAGCTACGCCCACAAGATAGCCAATAGTTGGAGGTCAGACGAATCTGGCCTCCTGGCTCTAGGGTTTTGTGGGGTTGGAACTGTTCCTGAGAATGAATCATTCCCGATGATTTGTAGTGAGACGTTTGAACGAAAGGTTTTAACTGAGGACCGTAATCGTCTCCACACCCAGAGTTGAGCGTAATAATAGTATCCCAACCCAAGTACAATCAGAAACCTAGCAGCAACACTCAGCTACAAAGTGCAATGATTGCCGCACAGTGTCGAAACAGCCAAATTATCTACAGTATGCAGCTGGTGGATAGCGAAAAGATGCTACATTGAAGTGGCCCATTCCGAGGCTCGAATCCACGAATACGGCAAGCAGTTTGTCTACCATCTTCAGCCAATCTTTTCATTTCTTAAATCACGCTATCAAGTAGCCACTCCAAAACACCACACACCTAGATGCAGCGACAGTGCGCAATGTACGAATATGAAAGCGGTCAGCATCCCAATTAAGATATCAACAGCACCAACATTTCGCTGTCGCGCAACCACCACCAGGCGCACATGGGCTACGGATACTGCGAGGGTCGCCCGATCCTTATGTAAGCTCGAACCCGAACCATCGGACTAGAAGGCAGGCTTGTGACCCTTAAGGCTACGGGCCGGCGCTGCATCCCAAGTAGATGGAAACGATGAGCACTCCCACAAGGGTATGCCAAGGTTGGTCATAAAATCGCGATTTACCGTTGAAAACATGGTCAATAACCAGAAGGCGACTTGTGAGCTTCAAGACACCGAAATAACTCAACAAGCAGATGTCAATAATAGACTCTTGAATGTATATGATGAGTCAGTTTTTTTTACATCGCTGTCACCCTCGACTTGTAACTCTACCATTCGAGTCTACCCAGCTCCACTGAATAAATGTAGCAGAATAGGAATCGAAATTCAATTAGAATACCTGCATGAACAAGAATCTAATTTAACACCGACCGGCGGGGACGTAAGTGACTGCTTTAAAGAGGGCAGATCTAGCTAATTAACTGTGGCAAGTGAAATCGGAAAAAGCATGATACCGAATACTTAGTGCAATTGTTATGAGATTAAAAGGAGATAACAGTGACGCCTGACGAGGGATCAGGAGCTGCAATAATACAAAAGCAAGACCAGATGCATAAAATGCTAACAGTTCTTGCAGACTCCAAGAGTTTCCTTACGTGATGAAAGCGAAATGGTTGAGAGGTACATTGTACTTAAATCGAAGCCAATGAAGGCGGGATGGATAAGGCAAAAACTGACACAGTTCTGCTTTCGAGGATCTCTAATTCCTATTATGTATGGTCTACAGAAGGCTCGCAAGCAGAGCACAGGTATCAAAGGTAAACCGATGTTTAGCTAACCTCAATGAACCCATTCCAAAGTGAGGCAGCCGGGTAGGGCTACAGCAATACATTTGAATTGGTTGACAAAATACCGAATATAAATGTGAAGAGGAAGCAAATGGTCTTTTATATCTTTGCTCATTGTTCACGGAAGTTTGAATAGAGAACTTTAAACATAATAGTTACGCAGACCGACAAAGTAGGATTCCAAATACACCAACCCAGATCGGTACTCCGCTTATGCACGAAACAGATTCACATCCGATTCAATGGAACCCTATCCACTTGCGTCAGTTTTAGGTGATGCCTTAGTAGAGCGTTTGGAAAACATCAAACAAAGTCCTAGTATGTAAGATGCGGAATTGTATAGTTGGTACATGAACGGCCACTCGTCGTCGTTGATACTTATTACTGGGTACGCCTAACTTGTATCACATCGCCATCAAATTCAGGATTGAAAACGAAGTCGGTGGCGCCTATCATCTCTTGGATGTTGACATAGGGTAAATCAAGATGGTACAGTGGTCCGATCGGTGTGCAGGAAACCATCGTGGACAAGATATTTTGTCAACTCTAATAGTTCTCACAATGTGAACCACTTTCTCGAGGGTTAATAAAATTTTTCTCGCCGAATACAATCGAAAGGGAATTGGAACGCATCACCAAGGCTGGATATCCTGGGTGGAATGGCAAACGAACTTAGAGCCCATAGAGAAAGAGTTAACTGAGCCAAAGATGAAAAGATACGCATTACGAGACGTCGGTATCATCAGCAATCTGTGAAGAAATCCTATCACTCAGCGGAGCTAGTGTTATTTGGCCAAGCCAGAGGGGCTGCCGTGTGAATCCCACCTGGACAGGCCGAACGCAGGCTACCGCACCTCATGCATTTATCTAGTTCACAATGCATGCGGTAGCAGATGAGTTGGCGCAAATAAGATAAGGTTGCATGCAGAAAGGAAATTCCGTGTGACATGATTGCAAACGGACCCAGGTCGCCTGCTAGCTCGACCGCATATCACACATTTGATGACCTTGACAGCGCATCCTAGCGCTCTTATCTGAAGAGCTAAAAACAGCCGGAAACTACAGTGACCAACCTGAGATTCATTCTCCTGCAGCGGCCATTTCGTTTATGGATCTGAGGCAATCGGGTGTTTAGCAACTAAGTGCATACGATAGAGAATGGACAATTACGTGACGCGTGCATTGCGCTTCGTCCCCGCAAACAAATACATCTTTGATACGTAGCTGAGATTGAGATGAATAACACAAAAGATTCCATTGCCAAATTATGCCAATACATTTTGGTTACAGGGTAGGCGAATAAATAAGGAAATATACAGCATCTCTGATGAGTTCCGTAGACGAGCAGGTTGCTGTGGGAAACGTTAGGCTGGTTGCGGTGCGATGCGAAGCAGAGCAGCTTCCACAAGATGGATGAATTGAAGATAACGAAGGCCTTCGGGTAAACGATGGATAAATCTGTCCGGAACGCGCATTCCATACAACAAAGCAGTCATAAAGAATTCGTCAAAAGAACCTCGCAGTGGCAGATCTGTTCGTTCGCAAAATTGCTCGAGGTCGACCGAGCGTTGTTCGTAAATGTGGCCGCGAAAGAGATCAACTAGATGATCGGCAGATAGTTGCCATGAGAGTAAGGGCATTTTCTGTCGACATGCACCATCGGTGCTTTCTTCAGTGGTTGACATCCTTTGAATAGTACTGAAGAACTCCACAAATTTTGACAAACGAAGGGGGGATGCTGTAAGGAAAGAAAAAGGGCTCACATACATTCTGGAAAATTTTATTCACGCTGGGAGGCTGTTGGACTTGGGAATCTCATTCTAAGACAAAAAATAACGCATGTCTAAGTCCGTTCACTTGCTATGAGGCGTAGTGAGGAAAACAGACTGAGGCTCGCCACAGACATTCATATTGTTCATTCATTCATTTAAACATTCATATTGTTTTCTGTTTCTCATCCACAACCTGCTCATTGAGTTCGTTTGTCAAGACACACATTGAGATGTAGAAGTGAGAATATCAGAAAGTACTGTAATCACGTAAAAACTGAACCCGGATATGCGCTGGTCTAAAGTGTTTTGCGTTTTGAAAGCGTTCTTGTGAATCAGGATCACATGTGTGATAGCAGCAACATGATGATGAGTGGAGAACAGCGGCCACGGGGAAGAGGCAAATAGCTGAGTAATGCATGGAACTCACTTTGCAACGACGTGATCAGCGCATCCAACACTGATTCTTTGGGGGCATCATGGTGGGAGATTAAGCCTAATCCGGTGCCAAATTGTATGAGCAGAGTGACAGTGGCGGCTTTGACAGCTGTATCAACGGCGTGTGAAATCTAACTGGTGAATTATATGCCCAAGCAAGCATTTACCTCGAAGTGATCCCAAGGTAAAAGAGATTTCGCGTCTGTAGAATTAAGAGCATATTCTGAAATCACAGACAGTATTCCATCATATATGCGTGAAATGGTCTTCAGTATATCTGGTGTGCCCAGGTCGTTCAGCGAGTCCGGTGTTTTCTCTGATGCTACCAGCAAAGTCCTCAAGCCAGAGACTAACCTTGATGCGGTGTGGAGTGACCTAGAAAAATGGCGCCAGGCTAATTCCCGCAACTCCAAGGGATATTGTAGCAAACGGAAGCGCTGGAGTTGATTCGTTCGCGTGACCGGACGCATGGAGATATTGCCCCCAAAACAATAGATTTCTTGAAACTGCAAAGATAAACGAAGATGTACATACGAGTGGACTACTGGAGCTTAATGACGGTGTGAAGTAACTGCCTCAACTTGAGAGAGAATACGCGAATTAGCGTAAACTTACCTGAGGGACATACGTGACGGAATGGAAGTAGGTCGGTAATTCTTGTCCACCTACTCTGAAACAGGTCAAGGTGGATAAGTTGAGACCGTATACATCACCGCCAATAGCTTCATCGTTCAGAATGCCACCGAAGACGTAGACAGCTGAAAATGAAAGAAAAGTTGCGGGTAGTAGAATCGGTAGGCCAAATACTCCCACACGCACTAAGCAGAGGCACAAGGCACATTTCGTCGAGTTGAAAGCGCGCTTCTAATAAATGATCGCACGGCATTCAGTTTCATAGGAAAAGGCGTTAAGGAAAGTCAGTGTTGGTAATTTTGCCCCTGTGTTTATCTACAGTGGTGGTGCGCCCGCCGTAGTCGAGGAAAGATTCAGACCGACGCTGGCGATATCTGTGGGAGATTTTAGAAGGAAAACAACGAATCTGGATAGTATATCTAGATGGCAAAATTCATCTGTACGAATTCTCGTGAACAGAAACAGGTTGATCACTTATTTCTTGTTGCCCCCATGACTCTAGTAGTACTCAACAATTGTCTCCACTTCGTGTATTCCGATGCACAAGCCCGTACTCGGTGGCAAGAAAATTAATCTCGATGTGAACCAATGCGAGGGAACCGGCGATACAGCTCCATGTACCTGGTAAACAAATGCTGAAACACATGAGTGAACACGCGACAGAATTTCGGGACAAGTAAATAAAAGGCCTCAATCATCAAACTGCAGCTTAAACCTGAGAATTCCCCATTGCGTTTTGCGCACAGGGATATGCACGGTCAAGAAGTTGTCAAGTTCAATCCATTGAAATCTCTCGTGTATTTGCACCCAAGAACTAGAAAACCAGCACGTGTCGCATTCCATCGTCAAATCTATAACAAGCATGTCGAATAACACGAGGTATCCTTGTTCTCTGTTGAAGAACTCTGTAACCCTTTTTAGTGAGTCAGTACAAACCGCGATAGTGCGGTAGTTTGCAAATAATCCGTGCTCACTGCAATTAGAGGTAGCAAAAAACAGCTAGCGAGGATACAATGTGCAGTGACCTAGTAGTTGTGAACCGTTTCCTTAGTGACCTTGTCGCTAGCAAGCCGATAAGGAATCCGAAATAATGTGACTCCGATTCGTCAATGTGCTCGAGGTGGGCGGAGGAACCCCTCTAAAGTCCAACCAGTTGATTGCTTTGTACTACAAAGTAGACAAGCAGAAATGCCACACGCTGCACTCATTCTTGTTGCAACACTAACCACAATGGAATATGCTGTCTGATAGAAATGCCGACATAAGTTGCTGTTCAAGCGGTGTAGAACTTTGGGCTACGAAAGTATGGTCTAGTGAGGCTGTGATCCATGCTTATCCAGGAAGAACAGTTTAAGGCCGATCTACAAGAGTTCATCTCCCGTTATCCACCGTATAGTCACATCAATACTCCCAACCGATTCCGAGAAAAAGATAAAGCGTCAATACTGGATCGAATATTCACCAACGAGGAAATGATGATCGAGAGGGTGATCGTCGACGTCTCCATGGGCCGCACCGATCATGTAGTCCTACTCTTCGAATACGTGTTTTGCATAATATCCCGTGGAAATTGCCGACAAAACAAAAACGATTATATGCTACGTCATATTAATTCGACTAGGTGAGACAGCCAACTGGATTTCTCTGGCAGACTAGGCACCAGCTAGTGCATGAGAACATTTCGTCAGCCAGTTTAACTTTCCGGTTGCCGAAGCATCAGGGACTAAGACCTTCCGCCCAAGAAACATGATCTCGTTTCTGCGAAGCAGAACACGCAAGGGTATAGCAGTACGAAACGTAATATGGCATCTAGATAAACTCTCTCCCAGCACCAAGAACTGGATGGCCTATGCGACCCAACGTAGTCAATGTACTCAGCTTGTTCGCGAGGAGAGAATAGCGTACCAGCTGAAGCTGGCAGTGCGTATAGCCTCAAATCACAAGCTTCTGTCTCAACACGTCAACAATCTACGTAAAGTAAAAAGGGGACTTCCTCTACCTCAAACAGCGGACGGACCCACACGGATACTGAAGGAGGCGGCGAATACCCTGCGCCTACAGGGCGCTGCAACACTTCAGTGCGATCACTGGCCACATAACCCGATGACAATGGTTGTTTCACGCACAAAACGCTCAAATATCCTTCACGCCAGAAGTTGTATTAAAAAGGCTGTTGAGTATGCGCAACCACATCTCTCCTGGAGTTGAAAATATAGACACGAAATCGCTAACGACGGTAGGAGAAAGTTTGGCTGAGCCCTTAGCTCGATACTTCCAACACTATTTTGACGAAATGTACGTGCCCGACATATGGAAACACGGGACGATTAGCCCTATTCACAAGGGAGGTAGCGTTCCAATCCAGCCAACTACCATTCATAATCTTACTACCGGTTCTCTCAAAGGTCATGGAAGCTACTATTTCAGACGCATTGACGGCCTACTTAGCAGAATATAACTACCTCGCACTGGTACAGCATGGCTTCCGAAGAAATCGCTCGTGAACTACAAATCTACTACTAGCACGATCCAGCTGGACTGAAGCAGTATACTCTGGCATGAGAGTTGTAATTTTTATCGATTTTTCAAAAGCGTTCGACCGGTTAGACCGTAACCTTCTGCTCTTCAAACTCTAGACCTTTGGTACTGATGATCCTCTGCTAGGGTGGATCATACGGTTCTTCTACACCAGCGCTTGGAAGTACAAGTGCGCGAATCGCCGTCTGATCCCATCAAAGTTGAATGCAGAACATCACATTGATCGGTACAAGGACCGCGGTTAATTTTGACGTATATTAACGATATCACACCACCATCTTAAGCTGGCAAGGCAGTACAGTCGTTTGGAATGCCATCGGAATATTTTTTCGTACGCGTTTGCGGAACGTGGAATGTCCTACCGGAATCTGTCATATGTGCTCCCACGCTGGCAGAGTTCAAAGCCCGAGTTGATCCTGTACTCATTTCGCTGCACGATCTCACATGAGTCATTACCGATGGAAAACACAAGTGTCTGTAAGAGATGTCAGTGGCAGTCAAATCACAGATTTCGTTCCACCTTTTTACCTCCTGACAGGATCTTTACCGACACCCAGTTGCCACTATTCCTTATGAATTTACCTTGGATTTGCAGCTTATACTACATATACAGCAATGAGCTCACAGGTGTAAAACCAATATTGCTAACAACATTTCTGTTTCGAAGTTTCACCATAACCACTCTGTTAGAACCCAAAGGGCAGGCGGTAACTTGTTTATTGCTAAAGTGGCTTACACTAGGTGTGTTCATCCATACTTTGGAGGTGTCCGCTCATCTGCGTAATTTCCATGGAGTGTTCCCCAACTGGTGCTTGCCTCTGTGCTCACTCCTCGTGCACATGGAACTGTAATCCTGATGTCATCTTCAGCTTTGGGGAAGTCGGCAGGGTTCGCTGTTGGTGTGTCATCTGGCACCACCACACTAGTTATACCCGGCGCAGTAGTATCTACCTTTAATCCACCACACTCCTCCCCTCCAAAGGACTCGCGTCAGCTGCCTTCCGTCGGAGTCTTTCTGACCGCCGGGGATGTTCACTGTACGAGCGTGTTTCCTCCTCCAATTCGTACCACTTCCTCAGCTCGCCGGCATTCACCCTCCGCGATTCACCTTGCCGAGCGATTGTAAACAATGGGCCTCGCCGGTCAACTACCTTGTACGGTCCTTTCCACTTCGCTAGGAGTTTCCTCTCTCCTGGGCCGCAAGTGGGATAGCGTTGATGGTCCCTGTACTTCACTTTCGAACCAATCTGAAACTCGATATTCCTTTCACCTTTGCTGGTCTGGAACTTCGCCATCATCCGCGCCTGAGTCGCCTGTAGGTTGCGGTTGGCGGTCTTCCGGTTATTTCGTGTCTCCTCGGGAGATATACGGCAAGTTGGCCACATTCCAATCTCTAGGTCCACAGGTAGACGAGGTTGTCGACCGTAGATCAAATGGAATGGTGATTTCTTTGTGGAAGCCTTTTTGATTGCTCGATGAGTCAGCAACAGTAGCGGCAGCGCTTCCTCCCAGTCTCCACCTTTTGCTGCTAGCCACTCCTTGATTGTTCTATTGTTACGTTCCGTCAGGTCATTTGTTTGCGGGTGGTATGGGGTGGTGCGCAATTTCTTGATGCCAAGTTTCTCCAAACAGTTCCGGAATTCTTCACTCTCGAACCACGGCCCTTGGTCTGTTAATATGGCCTTTGGGATTCCGTGAGCCGTTACCAAGTGATTCATGACAGCATGGGTAACGGTGCTAGCCCGTTGATCCGGGATTCCTGTCGCCTCAATCCATCGCGTGAAGTGCTCCGTCATCAATAAAATATATTGGTTACTACGCCTGGTCAATGGAAACGGCACCATCACGTCGACCGACCAAAGTTCACCAATTTCCGAGACCGGGATCGTCATCATTTGCTGCTGCATTCCTCGGCAATCCGTTTTCATGAGCTGACATTGTCTGCACGAAAGTACGCACTTCTCAACGTCCCTTTTCATCCCCGGCCAATACGCGCGTTGTTTCAGCAGATCGTAGGTCCTGAAACAACCTGTGTGCGCCATCTCGTGACAAGAAACTACCAGATTCCGTCTTAGTTTCATTGGAATGACTGGCACCGAAAGGTTGCTACCGCCTGGTATCCACATTAAGATCCTTGCTTCGTTCACTTGCAGCTTTCCCAGGTCTTTTGCAAACGGTCCCAGCTGCTTAAGTTGGTTTTTGTTGAAGTTTGTCTGACCAGCTAATCGCGCGGTGATCAACTTGCGCAGGAGTTTGTCACTACGTTGCTCAGTTGCCAACCGTTCTGGATCCTGCTCGCACAGTATACCGTTAATACCGAAAGATACGCTCGGCAGGTCATCATCATCTATCATGCGTGACAAGAAATCCGCCGTTTGATTTTCCCTCCCCGGCACGTGTTTTATCGTGAAATCATACTCTTGTAGGCGCAATGCCCATCTCGCCAGCTTTCCTCTGGGGTCTTTGGCAGACTTAATCCACTTCAACGGTCTGTGGTCTGTTTCGACGTGAAATCGCTGACCCAGGAGATATGGCCGCCATTTATCTAACGCCCAGACAATTGCGAGACATTCTTTCTCTATGGTTG